TTTTTTATTAATTTATTTCTCCCTTATTAAACCAGCTAAAACTTCCCATATGTATCAAAACTATTATGAGGCATTAAGGAAAACAATCTTAAAGTTGGAAATTACTGTCAGGCCCCTTCAACCGTCATTTTTGTTTCTCGATAAATTAATGTCTCCATTATTAAATAAACTGAAACGCATTTGAGACCAAAGCTTTAGAATTATTAATAGTTCATTAGAATCTTGAATGCTTTTTTAATTTTTTTTATATAAATACTTGAAAATTGAGATTCCGGAGATGGAAGGAAATATTAAATTTTTGCTCCAGAATTATTTAAATTTCGAAAATCTTATTTCTTTATATCATCTCTTTGGTAAATAAAGTCTTTACTTCCTGCTTTTTTAAAACACCTCATTAGAAAGCATCCATTAAAAAGTTTATTTTTTACTTAATTTTATATTTAGATTTACTTAAAATAGTAATTGGAAAATATTTATAATGTTTTATTAATCAGTATTTAGTTTTGACAAGTAAAAGGCGTAACATTAACTTTACTAGCGGTGGTACATTCCAATTAATTTACGTAGGAATGAAGAATCCACGATAGCCGTGTAAACCGGTAACATCGACTCGCCCATTTCGCGTAATGTCTCGCGTTTATGATGTAGGTGTCGTTAATGAACAGTCCCGATTTTCGCGTTTACACAAAAGCTAGATGATAACGAAGATAAATTTAGCTCGGATTAATTTTGAAATGTCCGAGGAATATATTATAAATATGCACCTTATGCAACAGGTACGATAATAACTGCAACCTACAACTTCAAGTTACCAGAGAGGAATTGAAAATGGCCGATAAACTGTCCCAAGAAAATTGTAAATTACGTTAAAGTAACAACGGTAATAACCATGTTGTTAATCCACCATTCATATTATATTACTTGCGTGATTTATCAGTATTACCAATTAACTTTAACGTAATTTCCATATCCATTTTTATAATTTACCAACATGAATGTTTTTTTTTTGTTATTAATTATAGTCATTTCATTTGATTACAGTTATTTAATGGTTAATCTTGGACATTATTAACATCGGAAGTTTTTGTGCTCTGCTCTCACCATTGTCATGAATTATCTACTTGGGAGAAGATGTTGCATGATCATTCCGTTTAGGGTAAGTCTTTTTTACATTTGTCATATGTATCTAGTTGGGTCGTAAGAAATAATAACAAATTTATTGTTCTTTCTTACTATATATTTACATATGTAGATGGTTCATGGGTGTGAAAAATAATTTATTAATACCTTTCACAAGTCAGGACTTCCTTGTGAAATAGATAAATCAGTTACAAAAGCTCTCCTCGCAAATTGAATTACTTTTAATGTTGGAAGCGTTAATAGATTACAATAAATAGGACAGCGTGTCTCGAAACAATTTACTTAAACTCATAGGTATACCTACTTACAAATATAAACGTATAAATCATACACTTTTTCCTTTTGCTTACCATAGCCTTTTTGAATTATAATAAGACATTCACTTGCTGACTTAATAAATTGCAGACCTTGTTTGTGTGCATTTAATTACATATATGATAATTCAACAGAATACACAATCCCCTTTACATGTTAAGGGATCTATACTTAATGTATCTGTGCAAATATATCACATCAAAGCCATTTATGTATACGTGTGAGGCTGTAGAGATAAATTAATATAGGAATTTTAAATAATATGATAAAAATGTTAACTGATATTTATTCGTACACCGGATAACTACTTATTTGCTTAAATTTTCTCATTTGATCATATGTGTAATATCATTTCGCATTTGGTCATTAAATAACAGATTCCTATTAATTGTATTCAAGGAATGGTTTATGATTCAATTAATTTGTTTAATACCTTACAAAAAGTCAGTATTTTTGTCTGATAGTGTCATAAAACACAATGTCATTGCATAATTGAGGGGCTATCAAAGGCCCTGTATAATGTTCCAACTGTATTAAGTCTATTCTTGTCATTCGATAAACGTAAAATTAATGCCTTGAATGAAATGTAGGTAATCTATTAATTGAATTTTAACTTTTTATTGATTAGGACACTGTGAATTACATTGTTGTACAGATCGTACATATTTATGTCCTAAGTAGGTGTCAAAAATCAT